AGGACCAGTGAGTGAAGGAAGGGAGGATCAAACATTGCATAGCTGGTTCTGGAAAAACTACACCAGCTTGTGGGACAAGTTTATCTTCCCACGCGGCCATCAGGAGGTCCTTCTCCGATAAGGGCTCCTCTTCTCCTGCTTGAGGCAGGGGCGGAGTCCATTGTGGTGGAGTGACTCTATTTCATACAACCTTATTAAAACCACCACACTCCTTGCCAACACTTCCCTGTTTGTTGACCCGTTAAAACTGTTGTTGGCATCCAGAGTGTTAAGAGAATTTACGCCAAACCTAAACTAATCCCACCACATCCAACCTAATCCAACTTAAACTAACTATGGTAACCCTACTTAACCAAACCATACCTACCTACCTAACCTTTACCTAATCTAACCATACTCTGCCTAAATGTCACCCAAACTAAAGAAAAGGGGGTCCCACTATCTTAATACTTTGCTATACACGTATACAAAAGGCCACCTAACATATTTGGGAATACAGACTGCAGTATCTAAGCCTCACGCAGGTTATGGGGAAGCAGTTCTAAAGTCACTGAACAAAGTTATGAATATAAAGTAAATATTTCCCCCAACTAAGAGGAAGGGGGACCTTTATCTGTTCAAGTTTTAAAGTAATTCTAGTCCTGGGGGACAAACAAGCCGCATAAGAGTGTCAGGGGGAGAATGTTTACGTGAGCACAAACAGCCCCGCACAAACGGTCGAATACAACTCTCTCAAACACACAACTTTAAGGTATCGTAAAAATGTGTTTCCATTCAGTGTCACTCGCTTGTCCTGATAAACGATTCCATCAGCACAGCGTTTCATTTCTAATTTCTAGTACAGTATTTATTTCTCTCTTTTTGTGTTCACTTTATAGGGAAGTTCCATTTTGTAATTATAGTATTGCAACCCACAAGAATTTCTACCGTTTTTTAGACAACGGTTGCTAACTTCCCTCCTTCAGGCACTAAACACAGCTGCGCTTTTGTTTATTTGCACAAGTGTTCCTGCAGCGGGGATGGCAGTAGTAGCGGCAGAGGCGGTTTCTCGTATATTCATCTTGAGGGTGAACACTGAATAGGTAATACTGGCAAAAAAAAAACTAACACCTCTCTATACATACACATATATGTATTACACAAACCAATGAACTGAAGTTAGTTTGGTGAACCATCCAACCTGGACACAATATGCGAACGGGCGTAATTATAAAGAAAAATCAACCAGGCTTTTAAACAAACACACATACACACGGATATGTATGTAAAGTAACGTCACATTTGGATAGTTTTACACAGAATTAGGACGTTAACAACCTATAATTCCCTCAACACTGACAACAAACATTAGAAGTGTCCAGGTGAGTGCAGGTAAAAGACACCATCACGAAAATATATTGTAACCTGGGGATTTTATTATTACAGTATTTATTTTTTATATGTTGATAATTGACTGACTGACTGACTGCCTGATTGACTGACTGGCTGATTGATTGACTGACTGATTGACTGACTGACTGACTGACTGTGGTAATTACATCCCTGGCGACGCATCAGTTTAGGTCACGTTGCCAAATTAATACTAAGGCTTAAAAGACTAAAAAATAAAATAATACAAGTGATAATGAACGATAATTTCTGGTTAATGTATGTGTGTGTGTGTGTGTGTGTGTACATTGGTGACAGTGAGGCAGGTGTCGTGACTTATTGGCTTACTGATGGCAGTGGTGTGTGTGTGTGTGTGTGTGTGTGTGTGTGTGTGTGTGTGTGTGTGTGTGTGTGTGTGTGCCACTCTAAGGTTAACGACACAGGAGAAAACACTGAGTATGACTTGTTTCTAATAACTAATCGTATTTATCAGTCTGTATAGTCACTCCAAAATTATCTGTACTTTGAGTGATCGATGAATTTCAGAACGAACACTGTGACTCCTGTTGTCTCGGTAGGGTTGTCAAAATCCTTCGTCCGTTGTGTCATTTTTTCAACAAAATTTTTATTTTTTTTCTGAGTGTATAAACCCGGCAATAGTAATATGTTTAAAATAGACATAAATATTAAACCTGGCAATAGTAATATGTTTAAAATAGGCATAAATAATAAACCCGGCAATATTAATATGTTTAAAATAGACATAAATATTAAACCTGGCAATAGTAATATGTTTAAAATAGACATAAATATTAAACCTGGCAATAGTAATATGTTTAAAATAGACATAAATAATAAACCCGAACCACAGACCTTAAACAGCAACAAACACAGACATAAACAATAACTGCAAAACAAGAGGCGTCTATCAAACATACGTGTACAGTACATGTTCGCCACTGGCCTCAGAACACCCATTCAAACACCAACATTGTAAATAGTTAATCCAAAGAAGCATATGTGAAAACCAACAAAGTTTTAACACTCTACGCTGCTGGGGGATATTTGTTTGCATAATCCACCTATCTAATTAAAGACAGGCTATAAGAACGAACAGCAAACGTACTAGTGTAATTAAATATCCCTGATCCTTCCATAGACCGTGAAGGATATACAAAATAAGGTTCAAATACACACTCTTTATATAAACTTCAAGAATATTTTCCTTCCTAACTGTAAACACTGACTGACAACTGCGAAATTTTACCAGGGCCTGAAGCAATCGACCATTAAAGTGATTTCTCAACTGCTTTTCGATTGGTCAGTGCCATAACGAAATTCGCCCAAGGTGAAAGACGCCATCACCAGCGGTCACTGCTAAACATGACACGTCCGGTGGAGCGCCCCAGTGGCCACCGACACGTATACTGTATGCACTCTTTTGGCGGATCTGAGCAGGATCTGTCACACGCTTACACTGACGTTAAACTCACGCAACCGACCATCTGCTCACCACAAATTAACAAAACATCCTTCTTGAGCTTCTGAACTGGTTTTCTGTGCTACATACATGTTAATTCTTTTTTAGGGTTCAGGTTAAGACGAAGCAGCACTTGACAACCTAACATCGTTCATCAGCTTTGGCAAAATACAGATACAAACACGAAACAAAGCAACAACAACATCCAGAAACTAAACTAGTCTTTCTCTACATAGGAAACAAACTAAAATTCCTTAAACAGGTGATCATAAGATTCAAACGCTTTTGCAACCAGACTGTCTGTTTATGAAGTGTATGAGAGCGTCTGTGTAGCAAGGGTGTGAGGGTGAGTTTGTGTAATATAGGTGCCTGAATTTGTGTGTTGTGTTCGTGTGGATTATATTTCATTACGGATATTTTAGAATCTGCCCAGTGTTTGTCTACCCGTCTCATTAATTAGTAACCCAAGTCAAATATTAATTAGTAACCCAAGTTAACTATTAATTAGTAACCCAAGTTAAATTAAAAAGTTGCTGGCATGCATTTAGGTGCTTCAGAAATTAAGGTCTTTAAACAACGCCTATTAATTCTTCGCTACTAATCTTGATAACTACTTCTAACAATTAAGTTAGTTAGTCTTATCTGTTTTAGTGTTGAAAGTTTTGGGTTGGTAATCAGAATTTAGCTGACTTTGTACGATAAGGAAAAACATCCGTGGTGAATTGTCCTGCCTTATTGACGATCCAATTCCTCAGAACAAATCAGGTATAAAACTAACCACCAAAAATAATAAATCACCAATTCACCAAATCTCTGATCATTCACAAACCTTTTAAAACACTAAACAAGTATTTAAGGAAGTCAATTTTTTTCAGTGTGTGTTGCTCCCAAACTCAAAGAAGAACCATCAAACCTTTTTTACATCTTATCGAACCACTTTCACACACATAGGGGGGAGGAACCTTGAAAGTCTGTACCTTGATCACGGTGAATGGTGCAACTTGTGATGTGATGGGTAAGTTATACGCGGGAGCATGGAAATGATTATACGCCAGTGTATGTAGAGGGTTGGGCGGCGTGTGTTCGTAGCTGGGAGTAGAGGTAGTGTTTGTGGATAGGCTTGTTACTTTTATCTCATAACCTTGGGCTAAGTTGACTGTACAAACATTTATCTTTATATACTGTGTATACACCACACACACACACACCCCACACACCAACACCCACTACACACACACACACACACACACACACACCACACTACACACACACACCACACCCCCTACACACACACACACACACACACACACACACACACCACACATACACATACACACGTAAGACAGTGTGTTCAACATAGCCCCTAGTAGCTTTCACCTTCCTAAACAGCAATTACCATACAGCAAAACCACCTCCCTCACCTCTCTCCCCTCCTCCCTTCACCTACCCATCACCGGAACCACACCCTCCCCATTCACACCTCAAGTCCCTAACTCAACGTTATCCTCTCTAAACCCTTCCCTTTATCCTTCAAGCAATATCCACATTTTTGTTCTTTCAGAGGACTGTTGACTGATTCTTTACTCGTTGTTTAATAATACACTGAAGTTATTAAATGAATTCGTATGTGAAAACCGAAGATAAATGTCACGTTGGTGGGCAAAGAAACAGGCACTAAACTGTAGCTACATTTTAGATATTTTTTTATCTTTTAGTATTGAGGAATAAACAAACAACATCCTGCCGAGGAAAATCCCATCACCCAAAGTTTTTAGAGTGAACAAAATCCCACTCCCTCAACTTTATGAACTAATACCTTACTTGATTTTAAGTTTGGGAGGGAAGTGAGGCTTTGGTTCTTGTTGGATGAGGTGGAATTTTGTCCAAAGAATTGAAATGAGGGTTAAAAACTTTGCTATCACATTACACCATAACAACAACCACAACAAAATTATAAATAACAATAAAACAAATAAAAATAATTTTGTACTGCAATAACAATAACTAAAAAATAATATTACTGTAATGAAAAAAAAAACAGACAGAAATCTTACCATGAGCTACATGGTATTTCGGCCACGTGAAGCCATACCCAGCGAGGCATTAGGCGATCCCCTGTAATACATCATTATCAAAGACACTCTCAACCTACCTGGACTCTACTGCTCCTAGCTTGTCCTCCAAGACTTATTCACAATTGTTGTCCTCTGGAAAAAAAAAAAATTAATTTAGTCTTCATTGTTTATCCTTTCCTTAGGTAGTAGGTGGAAAGGAAAGAAGGAAGGAAGGAAGGAAGTGGGTGTGATGGATAGGTAGGAGCATTACAATCTTTTCATGAAAGGTAGTACAGAATCTATCTAGCTCTTCCCTATTCCTTAAAGAGACACCCACCATACATCACGTCTCCTTATTTATCTACCTTACCTTTAATGTATTACTGGATCATCATTCATTTACGTTACCTGTAATACTCATCCCTGTTCACTTTACGGAGGAATTTTTCTTTTATGCTCCCTTAATATTCCAAATGCCATTGTACATAGTGTTGGCAGCGGTGTGTGCGTATGAGCCTTATACAGGAACAGGGACCAATGTGGGCGGGTGCGGCAGCTCCTGTATATGGTCCAGAGCCAAGCGCCCCTCCGCCAGCTCCACCTCCACCTCACATACATTACTCACCCCTCCAGCACCGACACTCACATTCTTAAAACTCTTATTTGTATTCACCTGTGTTGTTCTCCTGCGGTATATACAGTATTTCCCAACCATAACAAGGCCCCAAATATCTATGTGGTTTAAATCGTCGCTTCACACAACCGATCATCGTCCATCAGCAGAAGTCTATCCCCAAAACCATACACAGTGTAATATATTTCACGTACAGTATAGGTAAAAGGCCTTCACAACTACAGTATTCTATGGGCACAAAAAAATGACAGTGTATGAGTAGCATGTATAGAAGATCACCAATACACAATAATAAAATAGTGAAAAATTAAGGAAGATGACTCTCACTTTCACCTCAGATAATATTCAAGGATCAAAAACCTGTTTCAGTCATCAGCAAGGCTCAGCTAGTGGTCGCGCCTCCACACACAAAAAAACACACAAACAGGTCCACGGCGTTCAGGTGTCCACACCCATTGACTTTGTAAAAACTAGATTCATTACTGAGCCCCCTCCCTGTACATCTGTTCACAATGTGTGTGTGTATCCCAAGAGACGCAGTTTTTCACCAGGGACGGTAAGCCGAAGGGTTAAGTATGCTCCATCATTGTATTTTAGTGTTTAACCTGTAGTCTCCTCCTCCAACCATCCAGAGAAGGATTCATCCACGACTAGTACATCACACCACGCCACTGTCACTATGTTGAAATGCACTGTAGTTTGAGCTTTTCCCCATCTAGTTATTATATATCTTATTTGTATCACTTATGTTACTTGTATATTATTTGTAATTCGAAACCCATTCCCCAAATATGTAACTGTATATTTTCAGCCTTCTGGCTGCCAAGCTCTTTAAATAAACCGTTAATTATTATTATTATTATTATTATTATAAGTAGTGCTCTAAATCTGATGCAAATCGGTTGTAGTGATATACTGTATTCTGGACACAAACAACAACAAAAACACACCTCTATAATTAAATATAATCGGTCTATCCATTTAGTTTCTCTCAGTCTATTATCTTTACTCGTCTTCCAGTTCTTCGTGGTGTGGGATCAAGATCTAGAAAATTCTTAAAGATGGGAGGAAGTAACAGAAAATGATGCAAGACAGGTGTAGACAGACACAGGACAATGAAAAATATCAACATATACTCTATCATATCAATCTGCATACTTAGCACACACACACTACAAATGTCAGCTCTGTTGTTTTTGTGGTGTGGGTTCAGGTATTTTCCTCAAGGTAGTGTTCTGTTCACAAAAACTTCAAGTTACAACCTTCCTACACTATTATAAGGCACGTCACACGGTGGGTGGGGTAACATCGAGTACTTTTTCCCGATGAATATCCCGAGGTCTTATAACTATGGTAAGTCCTTTGGCATTAACCAAAATCTCCTCCTCCCTGACCATGAAAACCCGCCTCCAGATAACTTGTTTACGCAAACAAGTTCATGGAATTTCATCAATAACCTTTTGCGTCATTATTAAACACATTTCGCTTCCCAATACTGTACACATGAGTTTTACACGATGGTGTTCATAATGGTAAAAGTTAGTACAGGAGTAGCTTATGAAGTAATGACCTGTAAACAGTGAGCCTGACAGCCGTTCCTTCCACTTCCTATACTGAGGTAACCTTGAGAAGGCAAGTTGTCCACCAGCCCTTGCCCACCACCCCACAAACATGTCCTGTAACCTTCACCTTGTCCTCACAAACCCGTTTTTATTGGTCCTTCTGCGTTTGTTAACATACACATCACCTGGAGTCCACATATTTGCATTGAAGAAGCTCATGCAAATGGCCTCTTGTCATTAAGAGGGTAAACTTGTCAGGAGTTCATGTGTTGGTATAATTAAGCAGTAAGGCAGGTAACTGGCAGACATTATGACAACCCACACAGGTATCTGTGGACATTTGTACGCTCTCTGTTTCAATAAAAAAAATGGTTTGTCTGTCTGTCTCTATTTGTATTTCTGTCAATGTGTTTCTTTCTCGCAATACCTAAAATTATATTACCTAAGATGAAGAGTAATTTAAACACCGTCCTCACACACAAAAAGATGTGAACAAATAAATTAGACAAAGCGTGTCCGTAAATAATCCCACCATCAAACCGGTATCCGGCAGTGAACACACTCACACTCCACCTGTGCCAAGATATTATGAGCTCACACACAACATTCACCAAAGCGAACACAAGTGCACTAGAGCAGATTCATGGGGCGAAGTAACCATTAATCATCATGAATTGACAATGAACAAATAACTATACTTGAGCCATAGAATGAAGTTAAATATTATCTAGGAAAATGAACACAAGAACAATGACAGAGGAAGCGTAGCAAGGTTAATCAATTACCATCAGCATGAGCTGGTAACCTGGATAAACAACCTCCATCCAGAACAAGAGATGAACTCATAAACATCATCCACGTAGATAGAAGAGGCGAGGGAGGCAGGTTTGGGGTGTCCTTGGTGGTGCTACTTGCTTGACTGAGCGTAGGACCTGTAGCAAGCGGTGGCGATGGCCACTCAATTCCTTATACGACGCTCCTGTCACAAAGGGTCTTCTCCCAGGCTTCGTTACCAATGCTATAACCAACACCAACCCATTACAAAAACACATCTTCACTACACACTCACCAGACTAGCACCAAATACAACATATCTTCAACATACACATCCACCAACTTTACCACCCACCGACTCCACACCCTCATCACCCCCAGCCCAGTCATCACCTATATTAATCTAGCTCCTCTTCCCTACCTCAGTCCAAAATGGGTTCACTGAGGTAAGGTGAGGTTAAATTCGGTGAAACTTGGTGTTAATAGATTCATTTGTTCTACTTTTATGAATAGTTATGTCCGCTCTTATGAAATCGAGTTAATATGGGTTACGTTATGCTAGTTATCAGTTGGCTGATTATCTTATAACTGCATCAATAGTGTATACACTACTGGGCACCTACGGGAAGTCTCGGATTTTGGGCTAGATTTATTCCAGAGATGACCCTTCTCAACAATATAATGCTAAAACTCCACTAATACCAACTTATCAATATCCACCCACCCGGAAGGGTTAATGGCCTTTCTTTTGAACAACGATACAAAGATGGTAGACTAAATGGCGAGAAATTTGCACTGTGACGTTACACTCACTCGTCTTTATCTCCAACCAAGTCCCGAAATTTTTTTTATCTGACGAAGTTTTGAGACCAGGTACCCGAGGCTTCAGCCACACACCAGAGAGCAACTTCCTCTGCAAGGTCTTCGTCGTTTGTTGTTCAATCTTCATTTGTTTTTAAGTTCAATTCATGATACCATACCTTATTTCAGTGTTTACAATATATATTAACAGATATATGTAACTTAGTCACCATTTAAGGACATTTCTACAAGCTTAATCTATTTGCAGGAGCTGTAAACATGATGAGAAGTTCTGTAATTTGGTGTTGTCAGTCATGTGACATAGTATAGGCGAGTTTATCAACCTAGAAACTTAACTTCAAAGTCGGTGAAAATAAAATACTGTATTAAAGTATGTGGCTAATCTGAACCCAATGCTTCAAAGATAAGAAATTTATTTTTTTCCCCACAACCGGAATGAGACAACACATTTAGTCAAGGTACAGTCACTGCAACTTCAATGCCACAAAAGGAACTATTTTTACTTCCTTGCTTAAAAGAGCCTGTCAGGTGGTTTCCTACATCACTAGTGAGGAGAAAATTAATGTATAAATTCTGTATCGAACAATTTAAGCCCATTAACGGTGGTGTCACAGAATTTTCGAGGCTATAGAGGCCACCATCTTTGTCTTTGTATAAACCCCAAAGTCCTTCTCCCATCAACAGTTACATGAAAAAAATAACAATAACGAAGGAGCCTGTGTACATCCTGGTCTGAAGGACAACTGTGTGGATGAAAGATAACAAACTAGGAAAAATCTGATAGACCTATACTCAAACTTATTAAAAAGAATTAATAACTAGACATGCAGGTATTCAATAATTACCTACTGTATTTAGATATTGTTTCCTCGTCCCCATGCACTATCGTCCTCGCGTGCGCACCATAATATTTAAAAGCTTTCTCCAGTCCCTGAGTTCATAACACTGGAAGGCAGATTGTTTCAGGAATCCACAACTCGGTGTGTGAAGGAGCGCTTTGTACAGATCAACAGAGATCTTGGGTCATAGGCGCTCAGGGTATTTCCCATGGTGTGTTTTTGGCTGTGTACAGATACCAGTAACGTGTTTTTGGCTGTGTATAGATACCTGTAACGTTGTATCTTAACCATGAATACAGAATGAAATACAATATACCCTCAACTCCTGCTATGCTGTTGAGGTTGAGAAAATAAAGATGACCAAGACGTTATCATCAGTGTGTTTGTACAAGGCTGATCATACACCCACCAAAGTATTTAACGAGATATATTTGGCAAACCCAACACTTCCTCGTGCGGTTAAAAAAATGATGGTGAATGAGGCAGAAGAAAATGGTGCTCCCCTGACTATCGTTATAAAAC